ATAAACTATTTATGTATTAGCATATACAAGTTATTTTTAATTTGGTTCCAGTTTTGGCTGCAACCGAAAAAAACGACAAATCAGACGATTATCTTCAGTGAAAAAAATCATGTTTTTAGTTTAGGTTCGTACAATTGGTAAATTTAGTTGATCTGTTAATATAACGTATTTATACATGTATATTATTGATGTACATCAATTTGAAATTTTATTTCCCTTATATTATTGTGATTTGCAGCAAATGATTGTGCATTACGCCACAGTTATTTCACGAACACGCAGCCGTCGAAAACAATATTAACGAAGACGAGGTCGTTTCGAAAAGTGATCAAAACAAAATAACTATTAATAATAATGTACCCTTCGTTAGTTCTGTGGTATTTTCTAATAATTGCGTAAAAAGAAAATCATTTGTATACAAAAACTATTATTTTACTATACTAGAGTGTCCATACATTTTTTTTTAAAATAAAAACAGGACGTTATTTTTATGATTTCCGATTAAGATTACTACGTTTGGTGCGCTTGCAGGCAATTGGCGCGTCTATTCAATTATATTATATTACATTTTTGTCGATGTCATTTCCTGTGCTTATCACTGCTTCGCCAGTCGAAAAAATATTAAACAATAATAGACATTACAGTCTATATTATGACATCGTTTATATAACGATATTTTTATCGGTACAAATAAAAATTTGAAAACATAACATTTTCACTAATTGAAAAAAATAATAACTATATACCTACCTAATATATTATTATTAATAAACAGTTATTTAATTACAGTGGAACTAAATTTTATTTTTGAATGGGCAAAAAATTTTCATAGTAACGAAGAAAAAATTTAAAAAAATTGAAATTGAAATCTGCAATACTATAAGAAAAAATGTGATCAGCGGGTCACTTCTCCCACATCTCATTTTTTCTTATTATTGTAATAGTTTAGTATCATTCGATAAATTAGACCTCCACACGTTATGAGTATAAATTTTATATATTTTCTGTTTTTTTCTTATAAAAATAAAACAAATCGGCACGTATTAATCAAGTGAGGACAATGTCATTAGGTTTCGACATACGATCACACAAGTCTATTTTGATCGTATTTGTCGTCGTCGGTGTCAGTGAACGAAACAATCCAATGGAAATTAAATAACTACCACAATAAAGGACTTAAACGAACCGTATACGATAAAAGAATTTAATGTAATAATATACACACATAATACACTTAAATAGACGTACACGTGTGTGAGTATGTACTTACAATATAGCCATAAAGGTGTGTGTAGATACGACGCTATGAGTAGCTCCTTTAATGTAATGTATCTCCGTCGTAAAGACCTGACAAAGATAAACCAACGGACATAATAATATATTACATTATTGTATAATATATTGTCATAAAGTAGTCTGCTAGCTTTTGGAATCCATGCGAGATAATTATTATAGTAATGCAGCCGAAAGAAATAAAAAAAAAGCCACATACAACAGCCCTCATGCTGTATATGATGTGAATAATAATTAGCTTTCCCAATCGGTTTTTACCGTAACTTTTTAATGTCACGAGCGAGGTTGTGAATTTCACACATTTTCTCTTGTTTTTAAATTTTTTTTTTTTTTTTTTACTACCGAGTTGAACAAATTATAATACATTGATAAAAATGTAGTTTACATCGCCACTGTATGGGCATAATATGCACATGATATTTGAAATTCTGATTAGAATATTTTGTCGTATTAAAATATTCTCATTTTACCACATTTTTCGCACTTCAATATAGGTTATTATATCTGAATCAAATCATTTAGTATTATTAACTTATGCAATTTGAAGTAATTTTTAGAAAACATATTTTTAACACTGAGATTCTTCTGCAGTCAACGTGAATTCAAAACTCGAGAGTTGCAAGTTATCAATTTAATTTTGTGACCCATAAAATGTATTTAAATAAATAAAATATTACATTTCGTCATTGAATAGTAACAAACATTTTAGCAGTTAATTTATTGTATTAATAACAAATTAAATATAAATAACACAAAACAATAGACTATTGTTAATGAAAATCAATGATATATTAATCATTAAAGATTAAAATCAAAATACACCGTTATTCAAAAGTTAACCAAGTAAATTTATGATAGAAATTTATTCAGTCCAAATCGTAAAAAAAAAAACACTTAGTGTGAAGGAATTTGATACCACAAATCTCTTCAACCCTTATAACTGGTAGTATTGTATGAACTGATTGAAGGCAGCGTCGTCTATGTACACAGGCTATTCGAGTGGCCAAACGACAGTGTATGAAACATTATAGTATGATATTAAAAGTTTATGATTATTGCGGTTACCAAATACCAGTAATGGTTCCATGTTAAAAGATTTTTTTGTGAATTTTTCTTTCATAATATGGTTTGAAATCGAATTCGATTACACAATATTATATGACATTAAACTAACTACGATCAATTTATTATATTCCTACGTTTAGTTTAAATCCCGTTTTGTAAGCACTTCTCTCCATTATGGTTTACAAACATCAAAGTAATTTTGGATTCCCTAATAGTCCTATAATAATTGTTATTAAATTCTTGGATCCGTAACACATTATGTAACATATAGCTGTTGCAATGGCCACAGACTTTCAATATTTCTTTACGGTTTTTACAAAGTATTTGTTATTTATTCGAAAAGGTGTTTTTGAAATTTATGTATAGTAATATTTTTTTAATTATACCAATTACACATTTTTTAAACAATTTTTATTATTATTATTATTATTATTATTATTTTATTAGCTCTGATATTAAAGTTCTGACTGTATGTAAACTAATATACAATTCGAAAAGAAAAATAAACTGTTATACGTATAAAATTTCGATATTTTCAATAATTTTTAAAATAAAATAATATAAGTAAAAAAGATAATTAAGTACTTACAAGAAAAATTAATTTTCAAACTATTTTCTAAAATATATTAAAATATCTTTTATTCATACGATAACAGATTAAGAGATTTTCCTTTTAATTTCAAAGTTTACGACTTTGCACACATTTCAAACTAATGACTAAAATTATAGTGAGTCTTAGATACGGATAATATACGGAGCAAGATACTTTTTTTATCTTATATTTTGCTTTTTATTTTTTTTAATAGTTAATAACTAGGTTCAAAATAAAGATAATGAAAAATATATATATATTTTTTTTTTACAACTACTACACAATCTGCTATCTAACCTATTTACATCTTGCATTAGATAAACGAACGAACATTACTAACATTTACTATTCAATGGACAAAAGAAGACATATTTTATAGGATGCGAAAAGATATTTTTTTGACAGTGACATATTTTATTTCTTATTTCCACCATCTATTTTCGCCACTCGTTCATAGCAACTGTGTGCAAGTTCTTGTTCAATTTACAGTGAAATTCAACCTTACTCCCTTAACACCATCCTTTTCTAAAAGTGACAATAGTACAACCAGTACCTACTGAGAAAGTTATTTAATTAATTGTAACTATGGTTATACAGTTGTCAGTTACAAATTACAATTGCTATACATCAACCATGGGCCATGAACTCGAAGATTTCAGCTCATTTAGGTAGTGACCAGTCACAACACTGTTATATCAAGAATTACATTTTAATTCATTACTTAAATAGAAATTTGAATGCAACGCTTGCATCAACTTAGTCGAAAAAATCATCCAAATATTATTTAAAGATTTATGGTAAAAAATTGCCATTGTCGTGGAAAAAAAGAGTTTGCATCGCCACAGGACACTCTTTTTTAACGGTAAAGAAATTCTGAGTATTTAAATTTTTGAATATAATAAAGACATCAAGTATACACTTAAAAATCCCAAATGTCAGAATTTGAATTAATGTTTAATTAATCATTGTTGTCTGTTAGTGAATCACTCCGGTGCATATTGTGTAGGTGAACGAATAGATGATGTATGAGCTTTGTATTATTACATATGATTTCCGACGTGGTACAGGTGCGTAAAGATAGTCACAATGAAAATAATAATAATAATAATAATAACAACAACAACGAGCATCGTTAAACGAGTAGGAAGTGCGCGTATACATATTATTATTATTATTATTTACGCGAAAGGCCGCGGCATAAGAGAAAGACGATACGATGGGAAAAAAAATAGTAATAATAATAATACGCTAACAATAACGGCGACGACGACGACAACAATAATAATAGTAATAATAATAATAATAATAATAACAATAAAGTCGTGGTGGATATCACACGTACTTATATATGTATATATAATACACCTTAAAAACCTATACACATACATAAATATATATATATATATACATGCTTGGCTCAGGTGTAATACGAGAGTATTTACACACACACTAACATATATATATATATATATAAAAAGCGACTGATCGAGAAACGTGTTGTATATTTTGTATACAATATACATATATATAATATATGTATATAAATAGTGTCGTAAGCGCCACACGGCTTGTCCGAGCGTTCTGTGCCACACAGAATAAATGGCTTTTCAGTATAAACGAATATATATGTTATTATTTATATATACATAAGGTTTTCCCTCTATATTTTTACTCTCACTCTATCTCTCTCTCTCTCTCTCTCTCTCTCTCTATTTTTTCACCGCCGCCGCGCGTCCTACCCACTAGTCTTAGCCTCTTCCCCGCAAAAACCGGCAGGGGTCGTAGCGATCCTTCCCGCGCGCCGGGGGCCGGGGAGGATTGTCTGCGTGGCGGCGGAGGGGAGGGTCGACTGCGGCGGGAGAGGCGGCCGGGAGTTTCGTACGTAGTGCGTGTGCGCGTAGGCGCATAAACGCGCGCGCGCGCGCTTGTGTGTGTGTGTAAGTGTGCGCTAGTGTGTGCGTGCGTGGTGTGCGTGTGTGCGTGTGTGCGTGTGTGTGTTCTGCGGCGGCGGCGGGCAACGGTCTCTATATCCTTTTGGTCGGGGAAAGCGGCGGCGGCGGCAGCGACAGTGCTGTGCGAGTGTTACGGCCGGATGAACGTGCAGGCGCTGCTGTAGCGGCTGTGTGTGTGAAAACTGCGCGCGGCACGGTCTGTGTGTGTCTCTACCCCGAGAGCTGAGTGCGCCAGGACGTTTTGACGAGCGCAGTCCGCGGTCGGATGTGCCCCCCGCTGCACGAATACAACCGAAACGGACTACATAGGTAATATCATATTATCGTATCCGTGTTTGCATACGTCGTCGTGTATATACCTACCGATAACTGTGACCACGGTTACTACGGTGGTTTTATGCATGTGCGCGACTTCGGGTCTTGCAGCCGGTCGTCGACGGGAAAAAGCGCACGGTAAACGGCCGCCGGGCGGCAGCGGATACGCGCGTGAAGCCCCGGAAGTGCGCCGATAACCCCGCGCGCGATATAATACACGGCAAAAAAGTCCCCCCTCCCAGTTGCAACGGCGGCTCACGGATAGTGTAAGAGCAGCAGCTGCAGTAGCGGCGCAGTAGGCTGTCAGGTGCAGGTACCGGTGTAGGCGACGGCGGCGGTGGCGACCACGGCAGCGACGGTGGTGGCGATAAAACCGTCGCAGTTGCAGTAGACGTCGTCGTCGCGGAAGAGCGGCTAGCGTTCGCGTGACGAGAGACGTCCCGGAGTGGGCTGTTATTGCGCGCGGATGGGCTGCGATCTGGGAAAACTGGCCAGCTCGGCCAAGTCCGGCGACGACCGCGGCGGCAGGCACAAGGACGCGTTGGAGGAACCGCCGAGCCCGGGCCCCCCGGACCCCCGGCTCCCGCTGACGGCCAAGCAGAAATACAGCATGATCGCATCGTGGAAGGGCATATCCAGGGCAATGGAGCCCACGGGGGTGTACATGTTCATCAAGTACGTACCGCAAGTATAATAATACACGCAATACTTACCTGCACATTACCGCACGCCGTCAGTTTTCGGGGGGCTATTCAAAACGATTCGTCCGATTTAAAATGCGTATCGTGTATTTTTGGTTTCCAGATTTAGCGTACGCTGTACCTACGCCGGGCTGTACGAAATAAAAGAATAACATTTCGACTTTATTTGAAGAGTACATGAAAATTATCTAAGTAGTGGCTTCCCTCGGTCGTAAAAATAACGTAAAGTCGGGTCTTAAATTCTTTCCTTACACGTTCGTACACGGTGTCTTAAGCTTATCCACAAAATAAATAGTCACATGGCGTAAGATCAGATGACCTATAGGAATTAGGAATCCAGTTGTAAAGCATCGTAGACATTTGTTTTAAATAATCTCGTATTACGTCGTTGAGCAAATTCACATTCCCCTGCGCCATTTATTCTTACTGTTTTTATTCGTAGATACTCGTAATTTATATATTTTTTCCCAAAAGACAAACAGTTCGCGCGTGGATGGATACGTCGTAATGTGGGTATATCTAAATAATGTCAATTAATTCACCCCTATACACTTTAAAAATACCATTTAGGGACGCTATTATTATTGTTACATTGTTATTATCGTAACGAAATTATTCGCGTCATATTTTATAATACATGTATAAAACGTGATCTTAGGTTTATGTTTATGTAAGTAAGATATATAATATTCCTACACGCGTAAATTAACATTGAAGATCAGCATCATTATTGTTGCAGGTGGAATATTATTAAGTCGGTGTGTGGATGATGAGACTGTAAGAATATTTTTTTAATATAAAATATTTTAATGAAAAAATAATTACCTACCGTTCAATATCTTACAACAACAGATCAAAGTTTCCAAATACAATTTTAGTACTTAATATGTTCCACTACATTGAACAAAAGTCTCACGTTTCATTGTCTCTGATAACCTGATATAACTACCTACCTAAAATCGTTAGATTAGTAATAACATTTATTTATTGGAGCTATAATCGCCTAATTGCTTAATTATTATTTAAATTGCATTATTTGTTTGTTTTATTTTTATTCTTGAAGAAGATGAATGGGCAACGTTTCACTCGAAACTTGTATCTGGGACTTAATAGCAGTGTGCAAATTTCCGGACTTGTATTGCCCAATAAAGTAAATTTCACTAGCGTCTTGGACCGGTTTCTAATATACAAATAAGTTATTAGTTGTTATAATAATATTGTAATTTGTAATAATACCAAAAAAATAGTTATATTTTTCGGCCGTTTTGGCAACTTAAAAGAATGTGCTGACTAGAACTTGCAACAATGAGCCACCCGCCACTAAGTGAGGTTTTTGAGACTGACCTCGACCGATTATAATAAAATGCACCACGTTAAGTTAGAATGATGTAGTGTAAAAGCTATTTGCACACGCCGCCGACGCCGAAGGGATATGATATATTATAAAGAATTCTCGGGCACTTTATATAACTACGACCGTGGTATATACATACATATATATGTGTATGGTGTCGATGGCGACGACGACGATGACGGGCAAATAACACTTGACTCTTCAAACGTGGTATTTGCGTCTAGTGAATTATAGTTTAGTTTTTTTTCTCAAGCACGCCCAAACAATGACAGCGTTTCCGGAAAAACAAAATTAGGTCGAAATGGAAAATATATACATCATAGTTTTTCCTAAAATAAAAAAAAAAAGATCTCTTATTACGTATACAATTATAATATTATACAAAAAAAAGTAATATTATTATTATTATTAACAATTTTTTATGCGTAGATAGTCTCTGCTTGATAATAGATAATATTATAATACACATAAATCTATTATCCGCGTGTGTTTGAATTTTTTACTCACACTGCTGATTATGCGAAAGGGCATAAATATATATATATATATGTATTATGTATATTATTTATAACTTGACTCACCCGACTTTAGGGTCTAACGTTTAAATCCAGCTGTATTACCCACTCAAAAATCTCGGTATAATAATGCGAAAACGGGATGCGATGACATAACTACATAATTCAACGGGTGCATCGATACAATATATGATACAATAATATGACACCGTGCCAACAAAATGCTTTCCGAATTCTATAGCCAGGCTTTTTTTTTGTATATTACACTGGGTAATTCTTTTATTGAACAACACTTATTATATCAACATCTATTAACGTGTTTGAAAATATTTTTGTACTTTATTTTCAGTTAAAATGATACAATATTTTCTAAAAAAAATCGTTTGAATTTTTTGATTTTCTATTTTTTTGAATGACAACTTACATTTTAAACTTTATTTTCGAAGTAAAATATTTTTCGGATTATTTTGATACATACAGATCGAAATTCAGACGAATAGTTTATGAGTTATTAATATTCAAAGTTTAGGTGAGCAGAGACGCGGAGTAGTAGACCAACATTTTACAAGTATAGTATCTCATACCAATCTACTCCGCTAACCCGACTTTAAATAATTGTAACTCAACTCATAAACTTCTTGTCTGAATTTAGATTCTTGTGTATTGTAATCCACTAAAAAATATTCTACTTCGGAATGTAAAATTAAAAATATATTTTTTCATTCAAAAAACATTCAAAGAAGTAAAAAGCTTTAAAAATATAAGTATTTAAAAAAAAAAAAAAAATTATTTCATTTTTGCTGAAAATTATATGAAAATGATATTTTCAAATATTTCAATAGATTTTGAAATAACGAGTGTTGAGCGTGATTCAATAAACAAATCATCCTATATATTTATGGATATGCAAGAAATGAAAATAATTTCCTGATACCGAAAATAAAACGGTAAAAATAATACTATACACGTTTATATATAATAATAATATTATTATTATGATTATTATGATTATTATTATAATACATCGAATCGAATCAATTCCTGGGCAAAGGGTCGAAAACGGAAATCGCAGCGATCGGCGGAGAACTCGCCTACATAAATATATAATATATATATATATATATATATATATATATATATATATATATATATACGTAAATAGAATGAATAATCGATGCACGGTACCTGTCGCAAAGATATATCACAATGATAATACTACTTTATGATTAATAATATTTAATAAGCAAATCGTAGCCGATGTGGCGAATGTGTTTTGTTTTGTTGATGATTTAAATTTTAATTAGACGTGTCAAACTACCTACGTGTTTCAAGTATGACGACCTAAAATAATAATAACAATAATGAATAAACGGATGTTCGTCAGTTATTATAGTACCTATATTGAATGAACGTGTGGAGGAGAATTGTAATTTTTTAAATTGTATTCCAATACCATTATATTGGATTAGCCACGCTGAAAAATGCAGTACGTGTTATTTCTATAGCATCATTAAGTTTAAGTTTCTCTTAGAACTTATACGCAAGTGCATACGATTCTTTGCACGTTTCAATTACTATTATAATAAATTCTTGAAACTTAAAAGTATAAATATAAGTATTACAAAATTTACAATTATTTCAATGTGCACGAGTTGTGTAATAAAACAGAAGAATAAAATATTTTTGTAAACAAATAAGAAAAAAAAAATTCATTAAATCGATTGGTTTTTTTAATTAATTTTTATCGCTTTTAGTTGTAATCAAAATATAGAAAAACTGAGTCATTCTTCGGCTTGCGCTATTATTGAATTGATACTTCATAAAAGTTACATACTTTTATGTTTTCATATATTCACTTCGTGTTTGGTAGATATCAAATGAATTTGAATTTTAGAATTTGTTTTTAAACTTTATAAAGTCGTTTCGAAATTGATTTCAAAGTATGAAACGTTCAATATATATATGGTAGAAATCTATATATATAACTTAGTACTATAATAATACTGTTCTTACAATAGTACATTGTATTCATTTTTTGTTATACACGATTATTTCATCTTGTTTCGGCCACTAGAATCAATGACATAATCATAACTTAATAACTCATACTTTTATATTAAATGTCAAATGTAAAAAAAAAAAAATCATAACCTCTTTTCAAGAGGATGAGCCATAATAAATAAAGTTTTCGTCAAGAGTTGTTGATAGAGTTTTTTTTTTTTTAATATAACTGCATTTGAAAATTCGGGTTGACTTAGTTTGCAATATAGATATGGTAAAAGTTTTATTTATTTTAAATAATGCAATAATACAATTTTATGAATAAAGAACTTATGAAAATATGCAACTTATACAAAATACCTATTATCAATACGAAATATTGTTTGCAAATGTTTTTAATTATTTATTATGTATAAGTGTTGACCTACTTTTTTCCTGGGTTTTATTGGATAGTATTTTATTTTTTTATTACTATTAATTTTGTCTGATAATACTCGTATAACTTTCAAGTTTATTATAACATTGTTATTATTTTTTTAAACACATTATAATTTAGAGCTTTTACAAAATACAAAATGTAGTTTAAATAATATAAAAAAAATAACAGTATAAACAATGTTAAAAGGAAAATCATTTTGGATATGAACAAATTGTAGTTGGGCGAATTTTGAAATGGAATTCAAGAGTGGTTAATTGTTAATGGCTATATGTCAATTTTAAATACAATTCAAAACGAATCGAATCGATCTTGTGGAAATTTAATAGTCATTCGTCGACGTTGGCAATGACTGCGTCATAAGTGTGCGTGGTCGTAGTGTGTTTCAATGACGAAATAATAGTTATTATCGTTGATTGAACTCACGGAAAATAGGTTTTTGTAGTGAATACAACAATAATTTGTGATTGGCTGGACGGGCACTATGACTATACGCGGGACGCAATTTGCTGGTGATTCACGTGGTTTAGTACAACCCTCGGTCGGGTGAACTTTAACGCATTTCAGTATTGTGAGGGGTGTGCGCACAACCTCTGTACAAATATAACCACTGCAATACCGGCACGACTTACAATGAGAAAGCTACAGGGAAAGGGGTGTAGGTTTGT